AGCGCGGGGAGACTGACCCCGCACAATTTGAATTTCGTTTCCAGGGCATGGCAGCTCATTTCAGCACATTTCAGCACTCACGCGAACAGAGGCCGAGGCCATGGCTAGGTGGGTGGGGCCGAGGTCTTTCGCAAGTACGGCCTTACCTCGAACGAACCGCTAAAATTCCCACCAACACGCTCGCAACAAACGGAGGACGCGGGGAAAATGTGCAAGAACAGGCACAGTGGACAGTCGATCCACGAACATGTTAGCCACTTTTCCATTCCCTACCAAAATCTTCCCACTGCCAGTCGCCCATCCCGGCTGAAGCCAAGTCAACCGCAGGCGAGGTCAACCCTGCGCAACCCATTAACTCGGCATGCGCACCCGCGCTGCCCAAGCAGCGGTGATGCTTATGGTCCTGTATTTGTTGCGCAATTGTGATTGCGCGCGCGTTTGTGCGTGGGTAGTTAATGACACCCCTTGTCCCGCGCATGTTGAATGATTGCGTTGTCTCGTGGGAAACAACAGGCTCGGAAGTATTTCTCCCAACGGCACAACAAGGCCCCAACAACACCCGAAAGGCACACGAAGGCTTCCGCGCCAAACCTCAGCCGCATCAGCGGGCGCGCAGTCCAAGCGCCCCCCCATCAAATTCTAAACGGGTTTCCGCCTGCTGGGGGGCCCCAGGGTGATCCACTCATTTACTTTGAGCTTGACCGAGGAGAACGGATGGAGGCCAGTTTGGGCAATTCCGCTTAGAGCGTCCTCAACGTCTGCATGGTTTGGCCCCCGGTTTGGCCTGGTTTGGCCGCGCGCCCAGCCTGCGATATCCTCAACATCTGCCTGGTTTGGCCCCTGGCTTGGCATGTTTGGGGCCAGGCTTCGCTTGAGAAGTCCTCAAGCTTTGCCCAGTTGGGCCTGGTGTGGGCCCAGTTTCGCATGAGACGTCCTCAAAATGTACATGGTTTGGCTTGGTTTGGGATCGATTTCGCTTGAGACGGCCTCACAAAAAAACCGTGGCTTGGTCTGCGTGAACCAAAAAACCGCGAAATTGTGTACGGTTGGGTAAAATCCGTTATCGGCGCCATGTGGTCTCAACGCAGGAGTGGGACGTGCCACGTTTTCGACACAGTATGGACCATGAACAGACGTCGTGGTGGACATGTACAAACTGAAATAATGGCACGGTGTCATGAATACCCATTGCGGTCCACATGTAAGACGACTGCGCTACAAACAAGGGACGCTGTGAATCGTCATCGGCGTGTGGCGACGTTAGGAGAAAACCTTTCCGAAGCTATAGACACTGGTCGCAGCCCTGCCCGACACCTGAATGGCCCTGGCCCGTCCCTCTCTGCCTCTCCCCCCCTGGTGAAACATAAGGGCGAATGCTCGTTTGCGAGACCTGCCAACGCCCACCAGCCGGCGAGACCTTCATAGCCCACAATGCATTTTGGGTGGTTGCACGTGTGCTCAGGTGCTTGCGCGTGAGAGTGAGCAGTTGTGCGTGTGTGTGTGCGTATGTGTGAATGTGTGTGAATATGTGCATGTGTGGTGTGTGTGTTGGTGTGTTGGTGTGCGTGAATGTTGGTGTGTGTGTTGGTTGGTGTGTGTGCTCTTGTGTGAGTGCGTGTGTGTGCGTGTTCGTGTGCGGTTATTCAAAGTTGGGTTCATATGAGATGTTTCCTGTGCTCATGTCCACGTAAGTGTGCACGAGAACCAGCCGATGCCGTGCCGCCGCGGAAAAGGGAACAAATACGAGTGTATGGGTTTGAATTGCTGTGATTGCGCACGTACGTGTGATTGTGACTACCCATGTGATGGTAAATGCTTGTGGGGTGTGGTGCGCGAGTCCGTCTGTGCGCGCGTGTTGTGTTGTAGGCGCGTATGTACGCAAATGTGGGTTAACGTGTGTGTGTGTGTGTGTGTGCGTGTGTGTGTGTGTGTGTCTGTGTCTGTGTCTGTGTCTGTGTCTGTGTCTGTGTCTGTGTCTGTGTCTGTGCCTGTGCCTGTGCGTGTAACTGTGACTGTGTCTGTGTCTGTGTCTGTCTCTGTGTCTGTGTCTCTGTGTCGATGTGTGGTCGCGATTGTCGTGTACGAGTGGGTGATTGGTTGCTTGTATGATTGTGTGTGCTTATGTTTACGTGTTCGTGTTTGTGGGAACGTTCGCGTCTCAAGCCATGGTGCATCCACGCAGCAGTCTCAACGTGCGGTCGAGGTTCGACGTGCTGCGGAGGAACTCCTGTGCTCGCGTGCTGTTACGTGTGACAATATGCCTGCGGCTGCGCGCTTTAGTGTCAGCATGCTTCTACCAGTTGGCCATGTGTGTAGCGTGCTCAAGTGTGCGCACGTGCGCTCGCGCACGAGAGGTGCTCTTGCGCACGAGCGGCGGGACAACTAGACGTCCGCGAGTGATTTCGTGTGTGTGTGTGTGCGCGGTGCCCACTGTCCAGCGGGCAGTCAAGAACAGGTCCCAGTGGCGATCCGAAGCCTGCTGAGACAGGGCAGTGTGCAGCTGCCTGGAGGTGCGACTGCACACCACTCAAGGATGTCGGTCTGGCAGTACAGAGACTTGTTGGTGAGGGTCTCGTAGCCCCACTGGGCATCGATGACGCCCTGCGCACGGTGCATCGACGTGGGCGTCCCAGTGGACGAGCGCAAAAGCAGTGATGTCGCAGATAGCATTCGAGATGCAGCCCGGAGCAATCAGCAGTCAGCAGGCCAAGGGAATGATTAGAGTCGGTCCCTCTTCTTCCCTCCGGTCCTCCCGCGCATCCACCCGAATTGTGCCCTACGTAGGACAGGGCGCACAGTGGAGCAGAGGGAGGAGGAGGAGGAGGAGGAGGAGGAGGCGGAGGAGGAGGAGGAGGGGGAGGAGGGAGGAGGAGGAGGAGGGAGGAGGAGGGAGGAGGAGGCGGAGGAGGAGGCCTGAAGGGGCCCGAGGTCGCGGGCCAAATCGCTCGACGATGTGCACGAGGAGAGCGCACTCCACCTGCGGCGCGAGCTCACGTCGAGCCGAAGCGCGATCAATACAGTGCTCACCCGATCCACAGAGCGTGCCCCTGGCACTACCGCTGAGCACTCCTGAAGGGCTCCTCTACGTGCCTCGGGGGCCCTCCCCCCTCCCTCCTGGCGCCTACCCGGGATCCGTGCATATCGTATATCCCGATGCTTCCCAGGCCTGGAGCATGCCCAAAATAGCTTCCAAGATGGCCCCGCAGGGCCATCAAGGCAGGTCAAGAGGGACCCAGCAGCTCACAGTGATGTCCCGAGACGGGCCACGCTCAACCGAGACTCGCTCCTGGCGGTCCCCCCACGAGGCCCTGAGAGACCCCACAGGAAAACCTGGAGAGGCAGCTATTGAAACAAGACAGCGGAAGGACCCACCAAGACGGCCCCAAGACTCGGCGGTGGACAAACCTCCCTTTAGTAAACCTCCCCTTAGTGAAAACGGCCTGGGGCCGAAACCGACGGAGCTGGACCCGCAAAAATGATGGCCGCGACGCCCTCTCGCGAACCGAAAACGGCCAATTCCTCAATCAACGTGTCAGGGTAGGAGGTCTGTCCAGCCCCGAAAGACGGCCCGCGACCGCCCCGATGCATATCCAAAGAGCCCAGGACCGCCCCAACGCAGCACCGAGGCGCTGGCTGCACGGCCCCAGGAGCCCCTCAGAACTGCCCCAAGATCCCCCAAGTCGGCCAAAGACCCTCCACGACGACCCGAAAGCTCGCAGCGAGCTTCCGAAAGGGCCCAACACCTGGGAAGCCCCTGGCCCCGTTGTCACATGATACGGCCGACTCGGCCACAGGGGAAATCCGGTGTCGCATGTTACCGCATGACCTCGGCTGGGAGCTCGACGAGTTACATGTTGAGGCTCCCTGTGGACTCGAACAAGTGCCGCACGACACATGTTACGGCCTCCTGAGCCCTGACGACTCCTGCGGACGACAACAGATACGTGATACAACCTTCTCGAACTTGCGGAAGAGAATGTCACATGTTGCGGCCCTCTGGTGCCTGGGGACAGCTGATTTGACGTGTAGAACCCGTCTGCGCAATTCTCGAATGGTCGACGCATCGGAAGGGACTCAGGTTGGCCGACCCAACCTGAAAATTGGCGCGAACTCCCGCTGGACAAAAATATCCCACGAAAACCAGACCGTCAAATCCAGAATGTGCTCGTCAAAGAGCGTCGGCTCATCCGAGTTTCGCCGTGCTCGAGTCCTGCGTTTCTCCCACCCTACTGCCGGGCCGCTGAATGAAGGAACGCTAGAGATAAGGAACGAAGCCCCTCTCTGGCCCCAAAAGCGCCCCTGTGCCCGAGGAGAGCCAGCGGAACAGCAGCGGAGGAACCTGAGGAACCCCGAGCCCCTTCCGAACCCAGAGTATTCCTTATCTCAGCCTCCTGACCCTGCTCCTCAGACATTGCCATACGCACGCCCCCCTCCCCCCTCCCCTGGGGGGGCAACGATAGGGGGGGGACTGGCAGAAGGGGGGACGCATCGACCGGGCATCGGCGATGCGTCGCCGATGGATCGGCGATGGACCCCCGATGGTGCATCCCCGCACCTTCCTGGGCAGGCCGGGGCCATCGGGCCCCTCTCGGCGATCCATGGGCGATTAGGGGTCGATGCGTCCCCCCCTCTGCCTATCCCTCCTCCCCGCCCCTCCTGGCGCCCGAAGGGAGGCGGCCGGGGGAGGCCCGAAGGGAGGCGCCCAAGATCGTGAGCTGGAGATTGTCGATGTCCACTCTCCAAGAGATCCAACGCATTGGAAAAAATCAGCATGGAGATTTGTCATGATGTTCGGCCTCTGCGGGCCCTCGCCGAGCCCTGGGACTGTCAGAAAACGACTCGGAATGAAAAACCGGTCCTGGGGAATGGGTCGAGAAGTCCAGTGACCCCGTATTGAAAAGATCACGACATCGGATCTCTGGGCTCTTCTGTCGCAGATCGGTCCATGTGCGGTCGTGCGAGGCCCTTACGGGCCCACTGAGAGCCTCCACAGCCAGAGGAGCGTAGTAACTCCACAAGGTGTGTGCTGCGTGCTCTGCTGGGCAGTGCATGCAATGATCGCATCAACAGCTACGTGGGTGGATGACAGGAACATGGTGACGATGGCGACGAGGGCAGCAGTGGATTTGACCAGGATGGCGGTGATGGTGATGGGCATAGGACAGAACATGCCGAGGACACCTCTCGGCATCGGCGACGGTGGCTGCTGAGTGGGGAGGAGCTTGCTGCCGCGCATCATTGGCGTTGACAACATAACATGCAGATTCCGCGGGGAACGTCCTCCGGCATGAATGGTCTCCGGCGCGGCTTCCCGTGGTTTCCTGGAGGCCTCCTGAAATTCTGTGCCTCTCTGCTCAAATGCTGGAGGTTTTCTGGAGGTTTCCTGGAGGTTTCCTGGAGGTTTCCTGGAGGCCTCCTGACATTCTGGGCGCCTCTGCTCAAATGTCCGCCGGTTTCGCATCCCTTTCCTCCCTGGTCTCCGAGTGCTCCGAGCCACAAAACTGGCGATGGCGCCGGCCCTCCGACGCAAGCAAGCGGTGTTTGCCGGAGCGGAGGGCCGGCAGCAACCATCCAAGCGGCGCAACCGTCGCCAGTCCGACGAGGGGGCCCCGAGGCGGCCCGTGGTCGACAGGAAGAGGGCCCCGAGCTGGCGCGAGTGGACCTCCCTGAGGGCCCCAGGTGGCCCAAGAGGGCCCAAGACGGCCCAGGACGACCCCAGCGCGGCCCCGGGAGACGCCCCATGTGGCCGTGGGGGTCCCCAAAAACGGCTCGAGAGAGCACAAGGCGGTCCGAGATGGCACCGAGACGGCCCAAGAGCCCCAGTGGATCTCCAGGACTGCCCCATTGGAGTCCAAGACAGCCCCGAGACGGCTAACATAAGCCGCATGAGACCTCCTCAAAGAAGTAGAGACGAAAGGTGTCGCATGTGACAGGGCTGGGCCTAAACGTTGTGTTCGTGTTGTTTTGTTTTGTTGTTCGCTTTGCTCTATCTGTTTTTCTGTACCTCCCTGCCAATCCGAAACACAGAGCACAACCGAAGTCCAGCACAACAGCGTTTAGGTCCAGCCCTGACATGTGACGGCATTCTGGGCGGTGCTCGAAAGATCGCCACGCAGAGTGCGTCGCTGGCACGTTGGCAGATTTGGCGCAGGCACCTGAATACATCAACCAACAAACACATGGGAAAATATCCGCACTCGCGTGCTTGCAACGAGATGCCCAAACGACAGACAACAATATCGTCGCACTGCCTGCCAGAGCAAACATCAGACCCGCGACATATGTTTCCTGAAATACCTCTCAACGATGTCCTGCCCTCTCCTCCTGAGACCATCATACACCCTGTCCCCTTCAACTGAGGCCAGCACACCAAGACCAGCTAGCCCCCAAATCGACAATGCTGATTTGATTCAGCAGAAACGATTACAGCTGCGATGCGAGAATAGGTGGACGGGTGAGCTGGCTTGTGAACAGAGAAAAAACATAACGGACTATCAAGGGTGAAGTGCGGGGGGGGAGACACACGAACCCAGAAACCACTGCACCACAGTTCCCATCACGTTCGAAGGTGCAATCAAGGCGTCCTGACCTGGAGCTTCACCCCATACTTGTGCGCAAACATTGTCGCGTAAGTCTGCGTGTCGTGGACGATTTTGTAGCAGCTGTTCGACAGAAATGGGTTCAGGGCTTTGACCTCAGCGCGGCACCCTCGAAAGCCAGGCACCCAGCCAGCCCCCAGCGCGCGGGAGCCGGCTGCGTCGAATCGGAAGTCGGACCATATTGGAACGGGCGTCGAACTCGGGCCGCATCGGTACGGAATCTGAATCGAATCGGATCGGCCGCGCAAGGATGCACGACAGCACCATGCAAAGCATCTCGTGTGCCCAACGATTGGGAGCTCGTAAAGAAGGGGTAGGGGCAAAGGTGGGGTTTGGGGAAAGTCCGTCAAGACGTCCCGTGCAATGAGGAAACGTGAGTGTCTCCAGCCGGGTGACTTCCCTGACCCCACCCTGGGATTAAACCCCCTCTGCAAACCCCGGAAACGAGGGGGGGATGCAAGAGGGGCTCTGGCAAGTGATGGCTGGAGGCATGCGCGCGGATGAGGGTGGGAGCAGGGGGCGTGCCGAGAGAAGGAGGGGCGCCGCCTGGCCCCTCACCCCCTTGTGCCCCGAATGGGGGAGAGTGGCGGGATCATCTCTGCCACAGAGGGTGAGAACGAGTGGGGTCATAGACGAATGCTGTCTGTCTTCCAACACAGCCGCCCAGGCGCGGATACATACGACGAGCCTGCCCTGTCAGTTTGGCCCACCTCCTCCTCCTCTTCCTCCTCCTCCTCCTCCTTCTCCTCATCATCATCCCTCGTTCCCACTCTTGACCATTGTCTCTTATGTTATCCACCGAGTACCGAATACAGTGAACTCTTTTTTCTTGCAGTCTATGAGGTGCAGTCTAGGTGGTGCAGTATATGTGGTCCAATCTCGGTGGTGCAATTCACGTAGCGCAATCTATGTGGCGCAAAGCAAAGCAATGCAATGCAATGTACTGTCATGCGAAGCAGTATAAAGCAATGTAAGGCTGTACAAGAAGCTTCATAGATCTGCAAAGCAATGCAATGTAATGCAAAGCAATGCAACGCCATTCAAAGCAATCCCAAGCAAGGTAAGGCAATGCAACGCAAAGCAGCGCAATACAAACAACTGCAAAGCTGAGCCATGCAAAGCAGTGCTAGACAATGCAAAGCGATGCAAATCAATGCGAAGCAATGCAACGCAATGCCACGCAGTGCCAAGCAATGCCCAGCAATGAAAGCACGGCCAAGCAATGCAAACCAATGCCCAACAATGCAAAGCAATGCAACGCAATGCTACGCAATGCCAAGCAATGCCAAGCAATGCCCAGCAATACCGATCAATGCAAAGCAATGAAAAGCAATGAAAAGCAACGCAATGCGATTGCCAAGAAATGCAAAACAATGAAAAGCGTTGCATAGTGATACAAAAACATGCAACGAGATGAATACCAAGCAATGTCAAGCACTGAAAATCAGTGCAATGCAAAGCTGTGCCCAGCAATGCCAATCAATGCAGAACAATGCAACGCAGTCCAAAGCGATTCAAACCGCCTCAAACCAATGCAAAAATATGCCAAGCACTATAAAGCAGTGGCAAGCACTGCAACGCAATGCCAAGCAACGCCAAGAAATGCAAAACAATGCAAACCACAAGAATGCAACGCACAGCAATGCAAAGCAATGTCCAACAAAGCAACGCACTGCGATAAAAAAAAGCCATGCATACCAGCGAAAGCCAATGAAAGAGCATGCAAAGAAAAGCAATGCAATACACAGCAAAGCCATGCCAAGCAAGGTTAAGCAGGGCAAAGCAATACAAAGCCATGCAGCGCAATGTAAGGCAACGCAGCGCAATGCAGCGCCGTGCAACGCACTGCCGAGCAATGCCAAGCAATGCAAAGCAATGCAGAGCAATGCAAACCAATTCTAGGCAATGCGAAGCGGGCGGCGACGAGGCGGCGGGCGGCGACGATGCAACGACGGCGGCCAGATGGCGGCCAGAACGGCCCGCAAGCCCAGGCGACGGGCGGCGACGGGCGGCGACGAGGCGGCGACGGCGGCCACATGGCGGCCACAGCAGCACGCAGGCCCAGTTCCTTAGAAAAGAAATAAGAGACCCCTAACCCCCACGTAAGTGCAAGCACAGTTTGGGGGATTGCTGTACATTCCTACTACCACGGCAGCCAGCCGACAGCCGCTGGAGGCGAGACCTCCATCCCGCATGCGAAAGACCTGCAGAGTCGTCGACCTTCGTCCCAGCGTGAGCACTGTGTCGTACATGTTGCAAAACGCGCGGCAGGAACGGAACGGGGCGCACACCCCCCGCGGAGGGCCGAAATGTTGGTTTCGCCTCGGCGCCGAGCTCCTTCTCATCAGAGCCCGAGCTCTCGCTTGGTCGCGTCGCAACTGTTGCATACACGAGCTCGGCGACGCGCGAGCGGGCGAAAAATGCGGCTCTCGCCTCGGCGCCGCGGAGACACTCGCCCGGAAGAGGCGTTCCCGCCTCGACGCGCCGCTTCTGTTCCACGCGCCAAATGTTGGGGCGTCGCCCACGCCCAAGCTCCGTAATACGCATTTCCCTCGAGCGTGGCGCTCCCGCGCGGGCGCGGCGCGCTACTCGTTCGCCGAACCGCATGAAAGCGACACCGACAGCGGGGCCCCGCGAGAGCAAACGAACAGCCGACATCGCCCAAGCGCCGCTCAGCGCGTGCGAGTGAATAAAAGGCAGCGCGGCGCGTGTTTCGTCTTCGCCGCGCCCATCGGAAGTTTGTCGTCCCCGTCCCTGCACGGCCCGCGCAGTTCTCTCTTCGCGAAGCTGTCGGAAGTGGGGCCGCGCCAGAGCTATCCAGATGCGAGGTAGGAACGCGGTCCAATCCGAGTATGAAGGGTTGCCACAACTGATTGGTCGTTTGTGGGAGGGTGCGAAAAGGCGGGGACCTCCAACTCGCGCGACATGGCTAACTTGACTCCTCCTCCCCTCCCTCGCTCCTCCCTTATACCGGCTCAGGATCGACCGCTTCGGTACCACTTCACAGGCGCGGCCGACATCCTCCTCCTCGTCGTCGTCGTCCTCCTCCTCCTCCTCCCCTCCTCCTCCTCCTCCTCCTCCTCCTCCTCCTCAAGCTTCCTACGTCCTGCTCCTCCTCCTCCTCCGCCTCCTCCGTTTCCTCCTCCTCATCCTCCTCCTCCTCCTCCCTCCTCCTCCTCCTCCTCCTCCTCCTCCTACTTCCTACTCCCTCCTTCCTACATCCTCCTCTTCCCCCCCCTCATCCTGAAGCCCGGCGCTGAGAGCGGTGTCCGGGTGATCCACGAGGACCATCCCTCCTCCTCCTCCTCCTCCTCATCATCATCATCATCATCATCATCCTCCTCCTCCTTCTCCTGCTCCTCCTCCTCCTCATCATCATCATCATCTTCTTATTCCTCCTCCTTCTCCTCCTCCTCTTTTTCCTCCTCCCTCCTCCTCCTCCTTCTCCTCCTCCTCCTCCTCCTTATCCTCCTCCTCCTCCTCCTCCTCCTCTTCCTCCTCTTCCTCCCTTTCCTCCTCTTCCTCCTCATCATCCCTGCTTGCTCCCTCTTGCTTGCTCCTCCTCCTCCTCCTCCTCGTCCGCCTCCTCCTCCTCCTCCTCCTCCTCCTCCTCCTCCTCCTCCTCCTCCTCCTCCCCCTCCGTTCTCATCCTTCCACCTCTACTTTCTACTTCTCATTCCTCGTCCCTGTTCTGCCTGATCCCTCTTCCTACTCCTAATCCTCGGCCGCGTCATCGTCCTCATCGTCGCTTGTCGTCGTCGTCGGTCGTCGGTCGTCGGTCGTCGGGGTGGTTGTCGTCGTCCGTCGTCGTCGGTCGGAGTCGTTGGTCGTTTGTCGTCGGTCGCCGCCGTCGATCACCGACGTTGTTGTCGTCGTCCGCCTCATCGTTACTGCCCGTGTGGCGCAAATACAATCGTACTGCGAAACACTTGTGCCGTCCTTGGCAGACCGTTCTCGCGCCATCCAGAAAAAACAAAGCTCGGTAAGGTGAGGGCGGTCAGAAGAAGGGCGTGGATGAGGGAGGACGGAGGCGGAATCGGGGAGGAGGGCGGGAGGAGCAGGGGGAACAGGGGAGAAAACGAGGGGGGGACTTTTTTAACTCCGCAAGGTGCCCGTCGGGGACGGGGAGAACGAGGGGAGAGGCTGGCCAGGAAGCAACGGCACAGCACCATCCCCCTTGTGAGCCTCGAAGCCCCGAAGGGGTGTGGCAGCGGGGGGGGCCCGACGCTCGTGCTGCACGTGCAGGGCACCACGCCACGCGCGTGCAGCGCGCAGGATGCATCGCACCTGGCACCGACGGCGGAGGCCGACCACGCGGAGCCAGGACCGGCCAAGCGCAGGCAGCTTGGGAGGACCCGAAAACCAGAAGAACGAGACGCCGGCGGCCTGGTCGACTGGAAGAGGCCCACCTCTGCCCGTGAGGTGGCGGGCCAAGTGGGTAGAACAGCAGGCCCACACTGCAACGACACGACTCGCCACAAGCAGAGAGGCCTGCGCGGCCAGAACGAGCTGAAGTCAGTCAGGGTCTCCCGATTCGGTATGGGGGTCAAGCTCCCTCGGAGGGGGAACAAGGGGAGCCTCGTCCTCTTCCCTCCCGAGAGCCTCTCTGGCCCCAGCAGTGGGGGCCGACAAGACGACGCGCCTGCATGACGACGGGAGAGCTCTCAACGATCTCAGAGCCCCGCGGCCCTGGCGCAAGCCAAGAGTCTGCTGCCCCCGCCTCCGTCTGCAAGCGGGCAGCCTCCCCCTCCGACACGAGGCCTCCGCGAGCGCCGGCGGGCCGGGCCCTGCTAGAAGCTCAGGCCGGCCGGCGCGCGCTGGCCCGCATCAGAGACAAGAGGCGCACGCCTCGCCAGACACGAGATCCTCCTCCCTCCTCCCTCCTCCTCCTCCTCCTCCTCCTCCTCCTCCTCCTCCTCCTCCTCCTCCTCCTCCTCCTCCTCCTCCTCCTCCTCCTCCTCCTCTGCCTCCCCCCATCGAGCCACGGGCCGCCCCCCGCTCGCGAGCTCGGGGCGCTCCCCCGTGGCCAGAGCGCGAAGCACAGCAGCGGCGCACTTGCTCAGAGAACCTAGGGCGACGAGATCTATGCATATCCACTGCTCCTGGCCAGGCCCATCCTGGGCCCAGGAGCTGTGTATATGCCTCCCTGGCCAGGCCAGGAGGGCGTATACACCGCTCCTGGGCCCAGGATTGGCCTGGCCAGGAGCAGTGGATATGCATAGATCTCGTCGCCCTAGAACCTCCGGCATCGGGCACACGAGCGGCGCGCAACTTCTTGGACTGACCACCGCAGGGATCCCGCAGCGGTTGGTGCACAGGGGCAGCAGAATGACCCTGGCACGACGACTCAGCCCTGTGCAGACAGGGCCACGCTCGTGGAGGCCTGAAGGCAACAGGAGGAGGCTTGCCAGGGCAGCCTGATGCGCTTGACCGGCTCCCCTGGCATTCGAAGCAAAGACAAACTTGGCACATCCAAGAAATGCGACACCGAAGCCACCCGTGGATCTCCGCACTCGTCTTCCCCTTGGCCGCAGGGGGGGGGGGCACGAATCCAGGGGACTTCTGAGATGTCCAGCTTCGGCCAAAGAGGGAGCAGCTCGCCAGTTTGCACACCCGCTGAGCATGCGTCGCCGCGCAGAGCGGATCATGGAACCCGCCAGGAGTGCACTGGGGAGGAGCAGCTGCACCTCGCTTCGCGGCAAAGCCTGATGCGTCGTTCCCAGGTTTTTTGTTTTAAACAATATATATATATATATATATATATTAAAAGTAGAAGAATATATATAAAAAAAAAAAAAAAAAAAAAAAAAAAAAAAAAAAAAAAAAAAAAAAAAAAAAAAAAAAAAAAAAAAAAAAAAAAAAAAAAAAAAAAAAAAACGTGTTGGGGCAGACTAGTGTGAAGAATCTGAAACATGAGGATGGGCCTCAGTGATGCTCTGAAAGGGGGTGTCCCTCTTTAGAACCATGGCCGCACAAAGGCCTCGTATGCGACGTCTGCCGAACGCGAGGCCGGGCAAACTGCTCCACGGCGTTGCTACAATCACTGCAACCGAAGGAGGGCCCAACAAGGAACTCGTCGGAGGCCCAAGTTAGCCCCCGCGCCTGCGAAGCCTGAGGCAATTCAGCCCATATCAGACCAGAAATCGAAAGCGCGCGCTTCTAATCTTCATTAATCACAGCTATCCCCAAACCAGCCCTGTCTTATGCATAAATTACATATTTCGTAGAGGGCCCATCGATCAACAGATGGCGTGATAGCTCAGAATACGTAGAAGAAGGATGATCCGCCCAAGAGATCTCCATCACAAGGGAGCCCTGAGAGAGAGAGCTGGCCAGTGACCACCTGGGTGAGGAAAGCAAGCCTTGGTGATCAGCTGGAAGTCTACGTGCTCCTGGGGAGTGTCGATGGCTCACGCTCTGCATCGACCACTTCGGATCAGAGGTCCGCGACCGCAGTGCACTCGCACAACCAGGGCCTGCTGAAGTCTACTAAGGCGCGGTTGGACATGATCAAGGGCTGCTTGATCTCAATGCCAAACATCAGGTAGACAGTGAGGCCCATCGACAGACAGAACCCAACTGCACAACAATACCAGCAGCACCACAGGCAGCAAGCTGGTCCGCACGTTCATTCTGAAACTGACCAGTGTGCGAAGAGACCTTCACCCAGTCAATAAAAGAGCGAACACGATCAAGGATACGTCGTGCTCTAAAAACCAAGGCGTATCCAGCCTACTGAGCCCTCGTGCGCGTCCATGGGCCGTCGCAGGAAAAGCACTTCAAGCTGCCTTTGCCCTAAGGGAATCAGCTTGCTGGAGCGTAAAAGAAACTTGGCGGCGTCGAAACAGACTCTGCGTTTAAATTCCATCTTCTCTCGACTGAAGCCTTCTCAAGAGCCCTAGGAAGCCCTTGGTGGAGAAGACGTTTGACCAGCTTCGGCGAGGTGGTGGCGAGGCAAACTTTACCCCTCGTGTCCGAGACTCGTGTCGCGAATTCGCACATGCCCCAGCCAGTGCGGGGCAACGAGCAGCGCATCGCTGAGATTCGCCCCGAGCAGCTCCGCCACGTCGGAGAAAGAGACGAACAAGTAAACGCCCACGTCCCCCTCAACTGGCGGAACGGCACAGGAAGTCAGCCTCGCGCAGCTGGATGGCCCGGTACTCGCTTGGCGTAGCGGACCACGGGGGAAACAGAAGGGTACCAACAGAGGCCGTGTCCCAGGATGCAGAAGGTGGCAAGGGAACAGGAGCCCACTCCGGGCTCAACCGCTCGACCGAACGATCTCCCGATAGTCGATACCTCATAATATGAAATACACCCTGCGAAATGCTTTAGAAATCATGGGTTAAGAAATTCATAGTCTCAGAACTTGAATAAAAACCCAAAATTCCCATTCAAATCTTAGGATTTACATTGAAACGTTAAGAATAATCGAGACTCTGGCCGAAAACTTAGGTTTTCTTAAGCATCGCCTAAGGTGTACGGTGCACTTCATTCCCATACGTAAGTAGCATCGGCCAACCCACCGGAGGCGACATCTTCTTGGCGTGACGTTCCAGAACGGCCCCTGTTGTCGTGATGCGCCTGGCCCGAGTTGTGAGAACCTCCCTCCGCTGCTGAAACTGGGGCACCACTTTGGGGCGTCTGCGAGGACGGCCGACAGTGTCATCGACTCCAAGATTGATGGCGGTCGAGGCTGAGACCCCGCTCAAGCCACCAAAGAGCTCGCGGAGCTCAGTGCCCAGCTTCACCGACGAGGATACGAGCGAGGCCTTGCCCTCCGAAGCCGCATTGCGCTGCTCATTCTTGACGAGGTCAGCGAGGGCCGCTGCAGATTCCTTGACGTGGCTAGAGACACCGCTCTGGACCGACCGCCGACAATAGATAGCCGTAGATATACACCGAAAGATAAAACTCCGAGGGCATAACCAAAAGGTCCAAGACAAGTAGACGGAGCATGCGGGCGAACGTAGTAGCCCTCGAGCAACCAGCGGCAATCACACGCCGAGCACAGCGCGGGCCCCCGGCCAGACTGGAGAGCGAAACGAGCCGAGGCCCACGGCACGCGTTGCTAGCAAGCCTGACACCAACAGAACATCATAGAACCTCCTCCTCCTCCTCCTCCTCCTCCTGCTTCTCCTCCTCTACCTCCTCCTCCTCCCCCTCCTCCTCCCCCTCCTCCTCCTCCTCCTCTTCCTCCTCCTCCTCATCCTCCTCATCCTCCTCCTCCAGTAGCCCGATTTCAGAGTGAACCCGCTCGTAGAATTTGCCTGGATCCCACAGTACACCCACGGCAACGCCCCCCTTTCCTCATGCCAAGCTCCAAGCGAGCCGCTTGGCGCCAGACAGCGTCGCTGGCACCTCAGAGGGGCGGAGGCTCCAAGGGATGGCCTGGGGCGCGAGGCTTCCAAAGGCACTGGCCGCAGGCCTGTGGGCGCAGATTCTGCACACTGCACGAAAGGGCCAAAATGGGACGAGAACCCCTAGGAGGGTGACAAAGCGGGGGGGGGAGGAGGAGACGCGGCGGCGGCGGCGGCCTCACCAGGAACACGAGTCAGAATGTGCCAGAGTCGAGACGAGTGAAAACTTGCTCCAGCTCCTCGAGTGCGCATGGAATGCGGTGCTCTCGCGCAGGGGGGGGGGGCCGGCGCTCCGCGGGCGCGCCGCACGTAGGTACCCCCCGGCGGCCGGAAGCGCCCCGAGGAGGCGCGGAGGAGGGAGGAGGGCCAACGCGGGAGGAGGGAGGGAACCAGCGGAGGAGGGGAGGCGGGGAGGCGGCAGGCGGGGGACGGAGAGCCGACGGCAACCAGCGGGCCGTCGGTCTGAGCGCTCCGCCGTCTCCCCGAGCTGAACGTAGTCAAAAAGGAAACAGTGGATGCCTGGCAGCCGCGGACCACCAGAGGCCGGTGCCCCGACGACCGACGCCACTCTCTTCTCGTGGCCACTTCGGGAGCCGCTTCGGGCGTCCAGACCCTCTGCCCCTCCCTTCCGCCTCCTCCCCCCTCCCAGCGCAGACCGCCACACGGACACCCGTTCGCACGTCCTCGCTTCCTGTCGCCTCCGCAGCTCACCTCACCTGTGCCTGCTTGGCCGCCCTCCCGATTGCGCTCTGCGCTGAAATTGCGGGCACAAGTGCGCATGCGTCGCAAAACGCTGGCGCAACTACTCTGTGCTCGAAACTGCGCACCAGACTCACAAGTCCACTCGAGGGGACTACAACGATCCATCCCCCCATCCATGCCACGTATGTTCGTGTGTCCCGGCACCCGCTCTTTTCGCGCCTCGGTGCTCTCCCGCTCCTCTCCTTGTTCCCTTCTCCTCCTTCCCCCTCCTCCTCCTCCTCCTCCTCCTCCTCCTCTGCCTCCCCTCGCTTTCAATACGTCCTTCCCCCTCCTCCTCCTCCACCGAATCCTCCTCCTCCTCCTCCTGCTGCTCCTCCTCCGTCCTCCTGCTCCTCCTGCTCCTCCTCCTCCTCCTCCTGCTGCTCCTCCTCCTCCTCCTGTTCCTCCTCCTGTTCCTCCTCCGTCCTCCTCCTCCTCCACCGAACACCGAATCCTCCTCCTCCTCCTCCTCCTCCTCCCCCGTCTCTCACTTCAAGACAGCTCTTCCGTGCCGCACCCCCAGAGGTGTCGGTCGGGCGGGCCGGGCGTCCCGCACGGGGCCTCCCCACGGCTTACGCTCCAGAAGCCCGGAGTGTGCGACGCCTGCACGGACGGAGGGCGGGCCGCTCTCAAGAGGAGGGATTGCCAACAAAAACCCTTCGAAGGATTGCAAAAAAACCCTTCGAAGGGTTTTTGTTGCAATCCTTCGCTCAAGATGGGCTTAGTTTGCCATCCTTCGGGGTTTGTTTGCAATCCTTCGTTCTTTTGCAATCCTTCGTTGGGTTTTTTGTTGCAATCCTGGGTTTTTGTTTGCAATCCTTCGAGGAGGCGCCCGTAGCGCCGCGCACATTCGGCTGAAGCGTCTGCAGCAGTTTCACCGGTGGAAGGCCGGTCGCTCCCCAACTGCCGCTCTCCTTCGGAGCGCCGCGCGCGTTCGGCTTACCAGGTCGCAGCAGCAAGGGCGGGATGTGGGCTCCAAATGCGGCTCTCGGCTCAGCGCCGCGCGCATCCGCATTACAGGTTTCAAGCCGTTTCACAGATAGTGGGGGACTCGATGTTCAACATGTGGCTGTCGCCTCAACGCTGCGCCCATGTGACTTGGATGCCTGCTCCAGATACTCGGATGGAGTGCGGGTCGTGTTCAAAGTGCGAGGTTCTGATGGACGCCGCGCGCATTCGTCTTGAAAAATTGCACCACGTACTCGGATGGAGTGCGGCTCGTGTTCAAAATGCGGACCTCGCATTAGCGCCGCGTACATTCGTCTTAAAAGTTTGGCACAATTTCAAACATGGGGGGGTCGTTTTCAAAATGTGGCTCTCGCATGAGCGCCGCGAACATTCGTCTTTAAAAGATCGCAGCAGCTTTACAGGTGGAGGGCGGTGCCTGTCCAAGCTGTAGCTCTCGCCTTAGCGCCGCGCACATGTGTCTGACACATTTGCGCGCAGCGCGCCTTCGCCTCGAACAGTTGCAACACTACCAGAGATAGACGGGGGGGAGTCAAACTGGTGCTCCTGCTTCAGCGCCGCCCCAGTGGTTTGAAATACAACGTTCAACATGATGCATGATTGCACTCTTTCAACATGGAAGTACCGCCACGGGGGGTCGATGAGTTTAAAAACGAAGCCTCAACGGCTCCGCAGCGACTCTTTTTCAAACTGGAGCTGTCGCTTGAAACTTCTTCGGAAATCCTTGACACAAGTGCGAGCGTGGGCAACAGTTGCACGGAAGGGGGGGCGGTCCTTGTTCGAAAAAGGGATCTCGCTGGACACCTCGTTGAACTGTACGGTCATTTTATCGCTCCAGATCTACGCGTGAGAAAGACGCAAGGCAATGTCTGTTCAAAACGGGGTCCTCGCCAGAACGGCAGGACCCACTGTGCTGGTAATTCAAGGCGGCCCTGCGTGTAGTCAGAAGGAAAACCTGCGGGGTGTATAGGGAGGGGGCTTAGGACGGGAGGGCGCATCGCTGATCCACCTCTGGTTTGCTCTGGTCCTCCCCCTCCTCCTCCTCCTCCTCCTCCTCCTCCTCCTCAAGCCTCCTCTGCTCACATTCTCCTCCTCCTCCTCCTCCTCCTGCTCCTAGCCCCGTTTGCCCACATTCTCCTCTTCAATGAATATCCGCATCTTCCCTTCCCATCCCGCTCCCTCCCCCGATTCTCTCCCTCCCCTAGCTTGGCACGCCCGGCATGGACAAGAAAAACATGGGTACGATGCCCAACAGCAAACGTTGTCCAAAACCGAAAGCGGCTGCTGGGCAAGCGATATTGCGTATTAAATGGGCAGCGTGCGTGGCGACACCAGCAGCCAGTTATGTTCAAAATGAGCACGGCCTGCTGTCGGTCCTCCTGCCCATCCCTTCCGTACCCGTTTCGAGGGTACCGACCAGCTCTTCCGAACTACCATGTAAAACAGGGCTAGGATCGGGATAAATCGCTCCAGAGCGTTCCAGAGCGCTCTCAGAGCGTTCTGGAACGCTCTGGAGCGGCCGCGGCGCCGAATACATCCTCCAAACCCGCCGAGTCTCAAAGATTTCGAAGTATCCCGATCCGATGTTGTCCCGATCTTCGCGTCGTTTTACCATGAATAGAGGAACAACCAACCATGCAGAAAAACATAACTGATCGGAGGTCCGCGCGGGTTTCTTGGGCCGGCACTGGGCACCCCCCTCCTGGCGCGCGGAGCGCGCCAGGGGGCGCCGCCAGTCCTGCTCCTCCTCCTCCTCCTCCTCCTCCTCCTCCTCCTTCTCAACACTCTTCCTCCTCAACACTCCTCCTCCTCCTCCTCCTCCTCCGACGACGACGACGACGAGGATCCAAGAAACTAGCGCGGAGCTCCGAGAACTTCTGTTTGCGCCGCTTCTTGTTTGTCGAGTGAGGACCCGCTCCTCTGACGTGCGCTTCTTCGCATGGAGCGCCTCGGCCTGGAAACGCGGAGGGCTTCCCGCGTGTCTGGACGCGCCCGTGCTGCGGTTCGTGGGCACAGCCACTGCCGTCGGACGCGGCAGGAGGGAGAGCAAAAGGATCTGGGACCTCTTCGGGCGCCCCGCCCGGAGGGGAAGGATGCCAGGAGGCAACACGCGTGGGCTCACAGTCAACCCGCATCAGAAGGATGCGCAGCAAGGATAAAAAGGGCCTTGGAGACCCACGCGAACGCTGTTTGAGCGGGGCTGGCCAGCGACAGTCGCTAAGGATGCGCCGAAGGGGCAAGGATGAAGAGAGTACCCTTGGGCGGGTTGCCAATCCTTACTATGCGGGTGGACTTGAAGGGGCCCTGGGACATACAAAGAAAGACACACAAATAAAAGGATTCCCCCTATGTTCACATCTCTTCAGGGTGTCTGTCTTCCCCCCGCTGCCCATATTTTCCTACATTTTCTGGGGAACCGACGATTCATTGTGTCTGTGTGCTTCTTCCCCTCCTGAGGACTGCACAACCCAGACGCCTGACGGCGCACGGCGTTCCCGCGCGCGGCCCCAAAGAGGCCGCGGCCCCTTCCGCACAACGGCCGCTCTCCGTCCTGGAGCCGTGTCTGCCGGCACCCAGGGCCCGAGGACGGGCTGCCGAGGCCGAGATCGGGCAGGAAACAACACTGAAGGGGCCCCAGGACACACAAGTAACTACGCACACATAAAAAGATATCCCCCATAGTTTCCCATGTGTGTTGGTGTTCGTTGTCTTCCCCCCCACTTCCCATAGTTTCCCATATTTTCAGGGGAATCGACGACTACTTGTGTCTGTGTGTTCTTCCCCTCCGGAAACACAGGCTGAACGCGTCGGGTCCTCGGAAATCTGGGGACGAAGGATGCCAGGATGCCTCACTGCAGTCAACCCGCATGAGAAGGACGCGCTGTAAGGATGCAAGGGCCTTGGAAGGCCATGTCGAAGATTTTGCCAGCGGGGCGCGGCCGGCGAAAGCGGCCGAGGACGAGCCGAAGGGGAAGGATGCAAGGATAGCCTCGGGAAGTTGTACATGCTTGCTATGCGGGTTGACTGTGCACATACTTTCTCAGAACTCCGCGCGGATTTCCTGGATCGGCGCCAGGGGCGGCGCCGGAGGCGCCACCAGGAGGGCCCAGCGCAGATCCTAGAGATCCGCGCGAAGCCCAGAAGTTAGGTGTCTCTGTCGTTCTTATGCTTCGAGAGCACCTTCTCTCGGTGCAGGCAGCACTGGTGCTGGTGCCAGCCTCTAGCCTCCTGCGTAGCACAGCCTTGCGTTCGAGACCGGCTCTGGCGGCGAGCCGCCCCCCTCCGCGACCAGGAGGCGCCCGCACCGCGCGCATGCCGCGGCCACAAGCCCGCCCCGCGGCGCACTCGAGCAGCTCACGGACACGCGCCGCCGCCGAGAGGCCACACGAGGAGGGCCGACAACCACCGATTTTGGACAACGTTCCGAGGATGCAATGGAGACCAGTCCACAAGAAACCCTCCGCAAGAAGCCCAACCCTGAGACCCCAGGACGTCCATTGACTGTTGGCGTGGGAACGTCACGACTTCCGTGCAAAAGCCATCGAAACCCAAGGAAAACCCAGGGCACCCTGGAGGCAAGCAGGGTGGTTCTTGGCATGGGCCCCCACTGCAGAGGCCTCCCAGATGGGGTCCGAGAGCACATGGGGTCGGAAGACCGCGCCGCATCGCCAATGCATCGGTCATGCGCCGGTGGTGCATCGGCGACGTCGGCAATGCATCGTTGCCGTCGGCTTGGAGAACATCGGGCTGCATTTCGAGCCGCATTGGCGATGCATCGGCTATGCGTCGGCAATGCGGCGCGATCCTCCGACCCATCTCGAACCCCATCTGGGAGGCCCAATTAGAGAGGAGGCATCAGATAAAGAAACATACGACGAAATAAACACATTCGGATGTCCGCGCGGATTTGTTGGATCGGCGCTGGACCCCCCTTCCCTGTCGCGCGAAGCGCGACAGGGCCGGCGCCAGAGGCTCTTTCCCCGGGACAAGTTTTTCATCCCGAGCAGTTTTCTGACGGTCCCGTGGCCGGGAAACTGTATCCAGAGGCCGAACGAGTTGTTCCTGTGCGACGCCGAAATCTGGCTGGGTGCCTCCTCCCCCCATGCCAGGCCGTGCACGGCGACAGCACGACCGAACACCGACCGAACCGACAGCGAAACCGAAACCAACCAACACCGACGGACCGACAGCAGCATAAGAATGCGGCAGCGCAGCAACAGACCGAATCGAACCGACCGGACTAAACCGAACTGCGCCGCAGCCGAACCAACCGAACCGTGGACACCCCTGGTGATCCTCGTCATCTGGCTTTCGGATCATCCCTCGGGTCTCCGGCGGCCGTTCGGGACGATCCGAACACCTCTGGAATACTTTCGGAGAGGCGCAGCTGCTGGAAATCATCCCGAGGCTGGAAGACCGCCGAGAACCAACGCGAAGCACCGAAAACCTCCCGAGACTGGGGAAACGAGAGGACACCGATACCGCGGTTACCCAGACCTCCCAGGGGCGCGTCCTGACCAGAATCTCGAGGAGAATCCAGCCGAGACAAGGAGGGCTCTGCAGGACGAGCAACGGCATCGGTACCTCCCACTCCTCCCCAGACGTCCGCAGTCGTGTCTCTTGAGCGGGGGCCGACCATCCATGCATTCCTATAGGCACACCACGGCATGCTCTTAGAACCAAACAGAAGTTCTACGAGCAGAACACAACGATGCTCTTAGACCATGAACCCGGTGCATTGAAACAAGACGGTCCCAGCCATAATGTTCTAAGAACATGCCGTGCGAGCCACGAGAGGTTCTCCGAACCATCGCTGGTGGCCCCAGCACAGGCAAGCCAGGGCGCTCCGCCGCTGCGCAAGCCGTTGCGCAGCGTGGCGCCCGAGAGGTCTGGACCCCATTTCGCTGGGACCCGCTCTGCCATCCCGAGGCGCTCCGCGACGGTGCCCCGCGGAGGCCGAAAAACATCCCTCGAGAACATTGAGACCCTCCGTCGGCCAAACACACACACACAGAACTTCCAAGGGTACCCTCCACAGGACGCACGAGAGCATCCAACGACACACGAAGAGAACACGAGGGTGCACTCTCCGAACCGACCTCGACATTACACCACGGTCCGACTGCATCCACCTTCCACATCTTCCGACCAGCAGGTGGCTGGTTTAGTGATGTTCTCGAGGGGCAACAAACTGCATTAACATAAACTGTCAGAGCTCCGCGAGGGTTTCTTGGATCGGCGCTGGACCACCCTGGCGGCGCCTCTGGCGCCGCCCCTTGTGCGCTCCGCGAGCCAGGGAGGGGTCCAGCGCAGATCCAAGAAGTCCGCGCGGAGCTCCGAAAATTCATGTCTTTGACACTTTCTGCCCCTCGGGCAGATCACTAAATCAGCCACCTGCTGGCCGGAAGGTGTGGAAGGTGGATCGGCGGCGAGCGAGGGGGATGAGTGAGACGAAGAAGGCCCTCTCAGAAGGCGGCGGGGCCTCTCAGAAGGCATCCCGCGTAGAGAGCTTCTGAGGTCCGGGGGACGTTCCGAGCCTTCCGAGAAGGCCTCCTCCTTCTCGCGTCTGGAGGAGGAGGAAGAGGAGGAGGGAGGAAGGGAGGGGCGGAGGAGGAGGGGCGGGCGGGCGGGCGGGCGGGGGCGGGGGAGGAGAAGGAGGGAAGAGGAGGAGGAGGAGGAGGAGGAGAGGAGGAGGAGGAGGAGGAGGAGGCCTGGAGTGGAGAGCCAGGAATCGGGAATCAGGGTTAGATCGGAGGAGCCGCGCGGGGGGGGCCCGTCTCGTTGCGGAAGGCGAGCTGCACGAGCGCGAGCCGGCCCGCCGCGGCGCGCAGGTCGACGCCCTGGCAGTCCAGCGCGAACATGGTGTCCGAGGTCACCTGCGGGGCGGCGCCTTCCCTCCTCCTCCTCCTCGTTTTCGTCCTGCCTCCTCCCCCTCCTCCTCCTCCTCCTCCTCCTCCTCCTCCCTCCTCCTCGTCCTCCTCCTTCTCCTCCTCCTCCTCCTCCTCCTTCTTGTCCTCCTCCTCCTCGTTTTCCTCATTGTTCTCCTCCTCGTTCTCCTCCTTGCTCTCCTCCTCGTTATCCTCCTTGTTTTCCTTCTCGTTCTCCTCCTCGTTCTCCTCCTCGTTCTCCTCCTCATTATCCTCCTCCTCCACCTCCTCCTCCTCCTCCTCCTCCTCATCATCATCCTCCTCCTCATCCTCGTCCTAATCCTCATCCTCATTTAACTCCTCCTCGTCATCCTCATCATCATCATCATCATCATCATCATCATCATCATCATCATCATCATCATCATCATCATCATCATCATCATCATCATCATCATCATCATCATCATCATCATCATCATCATCATCATCATCATCATCATCATCATCATCATCATCATCATCATCATCATCATCATCATCATCATCATCATCATCGTCATCATCATCATCATCATCATCATTATCATCATCATCACCACCGTCAACATCATCAGCATCCTCATCATCATCAGCGTCAGCATCAGCAGCAGCAGCAGCAACAGCATCAGCATCAACATCAGCATCAACATCATCATCGCCATCAGCATCAGCAATAGCAGCATCAGCAGCAGCAGCATGAGCATCAGCAGCATCAGCATCACCATCACCGTCAACATAATCCGCGGCATTAGCATCATCATCATCATCATCATCATCATCATCATCATCATCATCATCATCAGTATCATCAGTTTCAGCATCAGCATCAGCATCCGTATCAACATTCACAGCATCCTCAGAATCGTCAGCAATGACTTCAAATATTCAACATCATAAGCAGTATCCGCGTCACCATCATAAGTATCATCATCACCACAATTGCCATCATCAGCATCATCAGCATAAGCATCATCATCCTCAGCATCATCATCCTCGCCAGCAGCATCAACATCATCAGCATCACCGTCAGCAGCATCAGTATCGTTAGCATCAGCATCGAAATCATCATCAGAATCAGCAGCAGCATCATCAGCATCATGTTCATCAGCATCAGCATCAGCACCATCACCATCACCATACATCATCATCATCAGCCTCATCAGCCTCATCAGCATCCTCGTCATCCGCATCATCATCATCATCAGCATCATCATCAGCAGCAGCATCATCAAAATCACCAGCACCATCGCCATCACCATCAGCATCAGCATCAGTACCATCAGCATCAGCATAAACATCATCTCTGCATCAGCCTCACCATCGGCCTTATCATCATCACCACAACTACCATCATCAGCATCCTCAGCATCGGCATCAACACCATCATCAGCATCATCAGCATCACCAGCACCATCACCATCATCATCAGCATCAGCATCAGCATCATCAGCATCAGCATGAGCATCCACATCATCATCAACAGCATCATCATCATAAGCATCAGCGAAATCAGCCTCATCATCAGCAACATCAGTATCACCCGCATCATCAGAAGCATCATCATAATCAGCATCATCATCAACATCAACATCATCCCCCCGCGTCCTCATCCTCCTCCTCTTCCTCCTCATCATCGCTCCTCATCATCAACATCCTCCTCCTCCTCTTCCTCCTGCCCCCCCTCGTCCTCCCTCATCCTCGTCCTCATCCTCCTCATCCTCCTCGTCCTTGTCCTCCTCCTCCCTCCACCACCTCCTGCTCGTCTTCCTCCTGCTCCTCGTCATCCTCGTCCACCTCGTCCTACTCCTCCTCATCATCCTCGTCGCCCCTCCATGTTCCTCCTCCTCCTCCCTTCTCCTACTCCTCATCCTCCTACTTCACGTCCTCGTCCTCCTCCTCGTCCTCGTCCTCCCTCCCTCCATCTTCCCCCGCCCCTGTTCCTTACAAGTAACTCCTCCCTGTCACAGCCACAAGCGCGTCGGTAGGGCGGGCTGGGCGTTTTGCCAGAGGCTTCCCCACCATGTATGATCATGAAGCTTGAAGTTTGAAACAATGTCACAGATGGAGGGCGGGCCGCTCTCAAAATGTGGCTCTCGCCTTAGCACCGTACGCATGCGTTTAAACAAGTCCGCCACGGGTTGAATGATAAAAGGCGGGCCGTTTTCAAAATGCGGCTCTCGCCTCAGCGCCGCGAACATTCGGGTTAGCATCGTGTAGTAACGTCCCAGGATGTCATTATGGCACGACTTCCTCGCACGACTTCGGATTGCCAGGACGCAACAGCCACTTTGATGCCCAGCGTTGAAGTCCCAGGACAAAATCGTGGCACGAATGAGGATTCTCAGAGTGGTGCACTCCCCGCAAGGAAACAAACATACATGTTCGCGTAGGGACATAATACAACGCGGGAAAATGGCGGTAGGGTTTATACTGGTCGTCCTTCTCCTCGTCCTCCTTCTCTTCCTCCCCCTACTCCTCCTCCACCTCCTCCTCCTCTTCCTTCTCCTCTTCCTCCTCCTACTCCTCCTCCTTCTGCTCCTCCTCCTCCTCCTCCTCCTCCTCCTCCTCATCCTCATCCCTCGTCGTCGTTTCTCCTCCTCCTCCTCCCTCCTCCTCCTCCTCCTCCCTCCTCCTCCTCCTCCTCCTCCCTCTTTTTCACCTCCACCCCCCCTCCCCCCCCTCCCTTAAAAACCTCCCTCCCTCCCTACCTCTTCCCTCCTCCCTACCTCATTCCCTCCATCCCTCCCCTCCCCTCCCCATCCCCCTCCCCCTCCCCCTCCCCCTCCGCCCTTCCCCTCCACCCTCCCCGCCCCCTCCCCCTCACCCTCCCCCTCCCCCTCTCTGGCCCCCTCCCCTCCCCCTCCCCTCCCCCCTCCCCTCCCCCTCCCCCCCTCCCCCCTCCCCCACCCCCCTCTCCCCCTTCCCCCTTCCCCCGCCCCCGCCCCCTCCCCCTCCCTTCCCTCCCCTTCCCCTCACCCCGCCCCGCCTCCCGCCCCCCCGCCCCCGCCCCCGCCCCGCCCCGCCCCCTCCCCCGCCCCCGCCCCCCCCTTCGCCTTCCCCCTCCCCCTCCCCCTCCCCTCCCCCTCCCACCCCCCTCCCCCTCCCCCTCCCCTCCCCCGTCCCCCTCCCTCCCCTCCCGCTCCCCTCCCCCCCCTCCCCTCCCCTCCCCCTCCCTCGCCCCTCCACAATTACACAAAATGGGAAAATACTCTCTCCCACTTCCCCTGATGGCGCCCCGAAGATATCCGACACCCCCCCCGCGTACTGTTTTTTACACACAAGATTCCCGGGAAACGGGTTTTCGCCTGCGTTTTTTTCAAAATGCTGTTTTCGCTGAGGCGCCGGCCTCATTTCTGCTCCCGAATCGTTCCGAATCGTGCTCCCGCTGCAGCGTGGGCCTCATTTTCGGATCGGTCTTTGGCCTCCGTCGTTCAGGATGGCGTTCTCGCCCCAGCGCCGGCCTCTTTCTCGCGCGCCCATCCGCCCGCCACCACCGCGCCGCACCACCACCACCACCACCACCACCACCACCACCACCACCACCACCACCACCACCACCACCACCACCACCACCCCCACCACCACCACCACCACCACGACAACCACGCACACACGCACGCACGCACGCACGTGCACCACCACCCACTACGCACGCGCGCGCGGAGCCACAGGTCCGCTACTACACGCGTCCGCGGATAGAGAAAATCAGCGCCATGGTAAGGGATGGGAGGGAGGTGTAGGACGTCAGATATGACGCGAGCGCACCTAGCTTGCCTCCGCCCTCGTTATCCCTCTCACGCCCCGCCCCGCCCCGCCCCGCCCCGCCCCGCCCTTCCCTCCCCTCCCCTCCCATCCCCTCCCTCTCCCTTTACCCCTACCCCGTCCCCTCCCCTCCCCTCCCCTCCCCTCCCCTCTTCCCTCCACAATTACTCCCTCTTCCCATGATGACGTCTTCGGAATATTCGCCCCCCCCGCGTACTGTTTTAAACACAGGCATGCCAGGTTTCCCCGGAGTTGGGTTTTCGCCTGCATTTTTTCCCGAAATGCTGCTCTCGCTGAAGCACCGGCCTCATTTTCGGGCCCCGCTCGTTCCGAATCGTGCTCCCGCTGCAGCGCTGGCATCATTTCCGCCGGCGCCCGGGCTGCACGCCCGAGCCGGCGCCCGGGCCGGCGCTCGGGCCGGGTCCGGAGCCGGTTCCGGCCGGCACCGGAAAATCGAGTTCCGAGGCGGCGCCGAAAAAAATTCTCTTGAAAATGCTGAATTTCTGCTTCCGGCGCCCGGGAGGCCTCCCGGGCAGATTCCGACGCCCAGGCCGGCGCCCGAGCCAGCGCCCGGGCTGGACGCCCGAGCCGGCGCCCAGGCCAGCGCCCGGGTCCGGAGCCGGTTCCGGCCGGCGCCGGAAAATCGAGTTCCGAGGCGGCGCCGAAAAAAGACCATTCCAATACATTTTTTCCGTGTGAAGATGCTAAATTTCTGCCTTCCCCGGAGTTAGGCTTTCGCCTGCAATTTTTCCCGAAATGGCTGAGGCGCCGGCCTCATTTTCGGGCCCCGCTCGTTCCGAATCGTGCTCTCGCTGCAGCGCTGGCCTCATTTCCGTGTTTCCGCTCGTTCCGAATCGTGCTCCCGCTGCAGCGCTGGCCTCATTTCCGCGCTTCCGCTCGTTTCGACTCGCGCTCCCGCTGCAGCGCTAGCGTGATTTCCCGTGCCATGCCACGGCATGCAATGCAATGCTAGGTTGATACAACGCTTCGCGGTGCTCTTCTACGCCATGCCATGCCGTGCTCTACAATGCATCGCGTACCCTTTCGGGATCATCGCCCTGCTTGACATCCGACTGTGCGAATAGAGAGGGGATCTGCGCCACGGTAAGGGATGGGAGGGAGGGGTAGGAGGTCAGATATGACGCGAGCGCACCTAGCTTGCC